TGTGAGTGAGAGAGAGAGAGGGGATGACACACACCAAAGGGCCACATTTGCAAGGACTCCATGAAGGTTGTTTTTACATTCATCTGCTAAGAGGTGAAAGTCACCTGTGCTGTCCTTAAATCTGACTTTAATCTGACTTTACAGTACTAGAATAAATGTGGCCTATATTCCACATTCTGCCACCAGCGTTTAAAAGCTTTAATTTGAACACATCTCATCTAATTACCCCAATACAAAAAAAAAAAAGTCCTTTACTCTTCTGTCTCATATGTTTTTAACAATAAAAGTGTTATGAGCTCTTATTTCCAAGGCGACAGCACACAGTTTCCGGTTGTAATGCGGCTGTCACCGTCTCTCTTCCCGCAACTGTGAAGCGGTTCAGCTCCCGCACTGTGATCCAGCTGCAGCAGGAGGAGCAGGAGGAGCAGGAGGAGCAGGAGGGACATTTAGGCTCCAACCCGGGCTGAAGGTGGTGCGGTGAGTCCCCCCCCTCCCCTCAACCAAACCCCGGGGCGGGTCCGCAGCTCCGTCCCGCTCACGGTGCAGACACACTTGAGCCAGCAGGGCCCACTCCTCCCCGGTAACCTTGTCAGAGCTCTCCGGTTGAACCGCTGCGGCCCATTGATCAGCACGATGCAGCAGAGGAGCGTCAGAGGTGATCAATGAAACGGGATGTGATGTTGGTGATGTGTGCAACCCTCCCAAACTCTGTTAACCCCCTCCTCATTTACAGACATATGCATAGTTTTAACAACAAAACTGTCAGTGACGACAATGAAGGCCAATATTAACAGTTATTTTCATTATTGATTTATAATTACTTCATAAAATAGCAAAATAAAATGATGCGCAAAGACCCTGAACCCAAGGTGATGTAATAAAAACTGACATCAAAGATGAAATACAAAGAAATCCATCACTTTTACTGAGGTTGCATTATCAAAGTGATAAATGACAACTGATTTACAGTGGTGGGAAATATTTACTCTAGTATTGTGCTACTTCACTTGTCCTCCACTATATTTATACATTTATTTGACAGCTGTAGTTAATGTTTACCTTTCTTATTTTTATCACAATAAAACTGATCAGAACATCGTTTTATATTAAACAGTCTACGATACTTAAAACAAATAGTAAAATACAGTTAGAATTGGCTCCCTTTCAATAAATGCTTATTCGTGAATGCATAAAAACAAAATATATAACACAGAAGTACTTTAGAGTACATTTCACTAATACTCTACTTTTGAATGCAGGACTTTTACTTATTATAGAGACTTTATACTACATATAACTATAAATTGTTCTGCGGCTAGTTAAAGATCTGAATACTTCTTCCACTGTTGATTGATCATTTTAATTCATTCAGCTCTGGTGCAAATTTTCATAGATTATAACATAATCAATAAGCAAATTTATTAAAGTGATAAAAATCTAAATATTCTTTTGAGATTTAATTAAATTGTTACTTTTTTTATGCATTTGTGCTTGTTTGTTGTTAAAATCACCTTATTTACCCTCCAGACGAGTGTCCAGTGTTACATAACAGCTCAGATATCTATAAATTCAAGGAAGCGTGGAGCTTTTTATAAGATTAACTGTTTATTCTATTTATAAAATGAGTGAATCGGTAACAAATACTTCACATATAAAAAAGGCCTCAAACACCACTTCAAAACATGCAGAAGTCAAAAAGTCAAGTAATAAAGAGAAGCATCGATAGCCCAAAACTGTTTTATTAAATTCATAAATCACCACTATAATGTAAAGTGATTTCTTAATTCACTTTAACTGTAATTTAATATACAATCTCTTAAATACTAGCCATGTTTAACCATGTAGAAAGCTTATACCTAAAGTAGTTTTGATTCCTTATTTCTCGGCGTGTCCACGGCCTCCTGAAATCAAAACCTACTGTATTCTGCATGTTGTTGTTGTTGTTGTTGTTGTTGTGGCAGGCTAAACCGAAGTGGTTCACATCTCCGGAGATGATGCACTGCACCTTTAACAACCGTTTCCCCCACAAGAGAAAATGCCCTTTGTGAGTCCGTAAGGAGGTAAAAAATAAAACGGTTGACGGAGGGGGGAAAGAGGATTCATCAGTTTGCTTCATTCTTTGAGGCTTCATCAAAGTTCTCCACAAGATCTGTAAGACAACAAAGGAGAACATCCAGATGTTGTTAGTGTATCAGTGTGAACAAACCCTTAAATAATCTATAAAAGGGCGACGGCTTTACCATCAACCCCAAAAAGCACGATGAAGAACACTTGTAAGCTCTATACCTGGTACATCGTCGTCCTCCTCTTCTGCAATTTCCTCCTTCACTGCTTTCATGTCCATTGCTGCAAAATGTTTAAAGAATGAGTGAATCAGTTAGTTGTCAGTGTTTTCCATCAAAATCTTATTGTGAAATTCCATTAAATTTTGCCTTTTTAACTTCTGTAGTGTGGCTACGTTTCACTGAACAAAGAAATTTGTTTTCACACATTGTCTCAACGTGTGAATTCTGCTGCTCAACAAAATAAAAAATGAGAATATGTACAGTTCAATGACTACGGGACAAACTGGCGATGAGACTGTCTCTTGTTTTAGACTCAGGTTTACTATCAGAACCGGTTGAATCATCAGCGTGTCAGCTTTCACTGTGCAACAATATCACATGATTAGTTGTGTTGCCATGTGGAAAAGCTGCTCCTATTTCCTCTGTTTGCTTCACCGACTTTATTTCCATCTACGTGCAAACAAGCAGTAAGATCCACTGCTTCAAAGTCAATCATCTAGACGCTCAGAGGGTGAGCTGGATGTCTGCACCTTTAGAAATGCTCTTTTTGTTCCCCTGTTGCAGTTTTTGCTCTTTCCTCGTAGTCCTTGTTCTCTTTAGCTCTGTTGTTGCTATAACCAGTTTCTGTAAGTCACATTCACAGATTTAAATCTCTCTAAACAAACAAAACACTGCTGCACAAACCTGTCACAAGTACACTGATATGTTAAAGGCAGCATATTCAGGGTTCCAACTCTTTAAGAAATAACTTTCTAGGAGTTTGACAATTCAGGACACTTACAAGCAGTCATATTTACTGATAGGCCTGTCATTGACTTTAACTGCAGTTTTATGCCTCCTCTTTTAACAACGAAGTGTCTCAGGTTCACTAAGACACCGAAAAGATCGAAGCGAGTCTGAACAGCTCCATTGACTGACGTGGCCTAAATGAAAAGGCAGTTTAAAACGCCCCGTTCGACTTCACGTCTGGTTAACGCCATTTGAGTCTGTTGCAGTTTAAAGAGAAATATGCCACCTTAGCGTTTCAGTAGAGTGATCTTCAGTGGAGGCTAAGGGATTACAAAAAAAATCTATAATATTCTGTCATTTTAATCCATTTCCAGGTGTTTCCATGACTGGAAAACTATCCAGGTTTTCCAGGACACGTGGGATCCCTGATATTCAGCTGTGTTTCTGTTTCAGGCGAGTTCAACTATGACTTTAATGTCCGGGTCGTTTATATGTCAGCAGGGTGTATTGTTTGCCATCAAGGAGAGCTGAACTCTGGTCCTGTGATTGGAAGGCGGCCGCTCACTCCAGCACCCTTCCTTCTCGTGTAAAATCTGATGACATTGCAGACACTTCTAATTATATCCCCGATATTACACGACCACGGAGAACCCCTGACATTGTGAATGTCTGAGCGTGTGTGTGCGTACTCACATTGCCGCGGGAACTGCTCGGCCAGCTTGCGCAGGCTGCTGAGGCTGTCGGCTCCCAGCTGGCTCAGGATGCCTGGCAGCATCTCTGTCAGCTGCTTGGTCTCGGCGTGGCCGGTGATGGCGAAGGTGTTGGCAGACAGAGACGCCTGCACTTTGGGGTTGTTGAAGTGGATCACCGTCCCATCGTCTTTAATCATATTCACCTGAGAAAGCAAAAAAAAATAAACAACACACAGTCACGACTTGGAGCCAATAAAACACAAGAGACACAAGATTGTGCACGGGCAATTTGTTGGTAGTACTTTATGTTTTAACAGCTGAATTATTTTTGGTGTCTGTTTCAGACACGAGGTGAGTAAATTAAGTTAATTACTTTTCCAGTAAGAAAATTACAAATAATCAACTTAAAAAGGAGTAAACTGACATGTATGCAAATGTAAACACAGCTTTGCATACATTTTAACAGCACGGAAGTCAACAACCTCGAGAAAACTGCCTTAAAAAGGGCTTTACAGCATATGAAACCGTCTTTGGATTATAAAAAACTCCCTCAAATAAACCTTTAACAGGTAAAAAGTGTCTTAAATTAGATCTTAGTCTAATTCGCAGTGAGTATATTAACAATTTTAATAATTCATTGTAAAATATGAAGAGTGAGTTGAGCCACAACATGAATGAATGAGACAAACTTGCGTGCATCAGGTTTTGTGTCTTATCCTCAACTGCATCTGTAATTCGTGCTTTGATTCATTTGAAACACTTTGCGGGAGCTTGTTGGATAAAAGCGCTCTAAAAATAAACGAGACGACAAGGTAGGAAAAAGCTTTTTGTCAGTAAAACACTGACATTAGTTTCCCCTTTGATAGCTCACCTCTTCTATCCCCGCAATGTTGTTCACTGCCAGTTTCTTCAGAGAGCCCTGGAGTTTCTTGTCATCGGCTGTTGCAGTTTTGTGAACAACCTTTTTCTTCCTGCGGGCTGTTCCCTGTTCGAGGAGAGAACAGGTGAGGAAGCCAAAAAAAAAAGGATTAGATAGTTAAATTAAACAGAATATCAAATACAGTTTAATACCACCGGGTTTTTTTTATGTATATGGGACAATGTTTCATTTCCATCTTGGACACGTTCACTAATTTCACCATAACATAAGACTAGAATTCATTAAAACAAATAACTTCTGCTACTTCTAGGATTTTTAAAGTAATTTATTTGACTTAAAGCAGCGTACTTTTACCAAAACTACGTACAACTACAAGTCAAGAGGACGTCAAGGAAGCTTTACTTGGATCCGACACTCATGAAACACAAAGTAATGCTCTTAATGCAACAGTAAGCTAAATACTGTCCACATAAAAAGGGAACTGACTCCCTAAAAGTCCAACTGACATTGCTTCATTTAAGTAATACAGGTTTTAAATCTTTTATTTTTAGTTGGGGAATTATAAAAGTTTATTTTTGCTGTTTCCAATTGATCCAGTTTCCTCACGTCTGAACAACCAAGGTGGGAAATTAACACTGACAGATAAATGTTCAAATTCACTGCAGCTGCTGCTAGTATTTGTGTTAGTGTTTTTTTTTTTACTGTTTTTTCTCTTGTACAGTGTTTATATTATATTATTTTTTCATACTCTTACTGTTTTTATACTGTTTTGTCCACTTTGCTGCTGTAATATTGGAATTTCCCCATTGTGGGACTATTAAAGGAATATCTTATCTTAACAGAAAACAGTGACAGTGTAAAATACTTCTTATTCCTGGTAAGACACAAAAGTAAATGTGCTTGTATTTGAGAATATCAATGCGGTGCAGCCTGTTAAAGGGCAAAAATAACATATAACGCCACCTAGTGTTTGGCTGAAGACCTTACAACCAATGTGAACAAAGCCACAGAGGCCACAGATGAAGGGGCCAATGCTCTCTCTCTCTTTCCCCCCCCCCACTATAAAGGGAATGCTGAGGTCAGGAGGAAAGACCTGGCAGATGCTGGATGCCATCACACTCCTTAAAATGAGCAACAACCGAGCCAACGACAGGACAAAACTCAAAAAGCCCTGAATGAGATTTCAACACTGGGCGTTTAACTTTTGTCCCCATTGTAGTGCCAATACAACACAATAGGTTTGACAGTACAAACGTAAAGTAGAAGCAGACTGTACCTTTCCACCTATCCGGACTTGTGCCTGGAGTTTGGCGAGCTTCTCTTGATTCATAGTGTTTCTGTTTGTACATCAAAAAAACACACTTTTAACATTATTACATTACGTTATTCACATATATACATTATTATACATTATTTTTTTTATTTTACATGTGAGCAATTTGACAGATAAATGCAGGTTTCCACAGTTCGTGAAACAACAAGCAGTTAAAGGGAGCACATGTGGGTTTTAAAGTTACAATAATCCTCATTTCGGCACATTAGCACTGCGCTAAGCTACAACACTAACAGATCAGCTGACAGCTACACACTGAAGCCACACTGGCGGAGATGAACAGACACATTGATTAGGTTAAATCAGAAATATCTGGAGCCAAAAATCTTAGAAATCGGACTCATGTGTAACGTAGCTGTGGCTGGCTAACGGTGGCTAACTGTGCCACAAGGCTGAGTTAGCTCGAGTTAGCATCGCGGCTAAAGAAACAAGGTAAAAACCAACTGACGTTCAGTGTTTGACAAAGCGAGCAGCTGACGTCGACTTTAAATCAAACAATAAAACAAATCGGCTCCACTTTTAACCACGAAACGAAATGTTTCTTTACCTTTGAAAGGGAATTAAGTGACAGTCCGTTGAACTCTTCTCGCTGTTAGTGAAGCAGCTTAAACCACCGCGGCGTCAAGCAGCAGCATTAAGAGCTACTTCCTGTTTAAATTTAACACAATAAAATCACCGCGACTCACAAAACGGTACATTTATGGCGCGTGCAGAGAATATAATAACGGCAAAGGAGAAAATATAGTTATAATGTATTAAAGTGGGATTTATAACGTAAAAAAAACCTGCGTTTGTACATTTTTAAAAAACATTTTACGGCTTTTAAACTTGTGTTTTCACGACGACTTCCGGTCTCCTCGCTCACGTTCCGCCGTCTAACTTGACCAAGTGGCGCGCCGCAGACCGGAGCACGCGGTTGTGTGGATGTGACGTCACGAAAACGAGTCGCTGCCGACCAATGGGAGGAAGAGGGTGGAGGCAACTGACGCACGATGCGCGCGCACGCCCCCCCCCCCC